AAGATATTTGCCCCTGACAACTGACGATATTTTTCAGATCTGGCTTCTAAATTACCTGTTTGTATTACCCCAAAAGTAAGATTTCCACATTCAAAGTAAAAAAAAGAATAAACAGCTAGTTCAAAAAATCCAAACTACTGACTAGACACAGTGACACACACATCACAACACGACTGTCTCCCGTGAATTTAAATTCAAATTGCTGTAATCTAACAGCAAAGTTTGAAAATCTTGTATATCCACTTCACAATATCCGCTTGCCGATTTGTAATACGAATACGTTCAGAACACAGAACTTTGTAAGCACATTATTATGTCACACAATGCAACACATGAAAACGGCTTGCAGTAAACAATTTTCCAATATCACGTGATTTAGTCAGAAGCACCTACATACAGAAGGACCTGGTTCTTTCTTGCAGTTCCCCCTCCCTTTGCCCTCAAGGACTGCAGTCTACTCATTCTCTCTATATGTTATGTTTGCTGTCAATGTTCCCATCTTTCTGACAAACTCATTCTCTCTATATGTTATGTTTGCTGTCAATGTTCCCATCTTTCTGACAAACTCATTCTCTCAGTGTGTTATGTTTGCTGTCAATGTTTCCATTTTTCTGACAAACTCATTCTCTCAGTGTGTTATGTTTGCTGTCAATGTTCCCATCTTTCTGACAAACTCATTCTCTCTATATGTTATGTTTGCTGTCAATGTTCCCATCTTTCTGACAAACTCATTCTCAATTCTCAGTGTGTTATGTTTGCTGTCAATGTTCCCATCTTTCTGACAAAAATGTTTGCTCATCACCCAGTGTGTTCTCTATATGTTATGTTTGCTGTCAATGTTTCCATTTTTCTGACAAACTCATTCTCTCAGTGTGTGTTTGCTTATGTTTGCATTTTTGTCAAATCATTCTCTCAGTGTGTTATGTTTGCTGTCAATGTTCACCCAGTGTGTTATGTTTGCTGTCAATGTTCACCCAGTGTGTTATGTTTGCTGTCAATGTTCCCATCTTTCTGACAAACTCATTCTCTCTATATGTTATGTTTGCTGTCAATGTTTCCATTTTTCTGACAAACTCATTCTCTCAGTGTGTTATGTTTGCTGTCAATGTTCCCATTTTTCTGACAAACTCATTCTCTCAGTGTGTTATGTTTGCTGTCAATGTTCACCCAGTGTGTTATGTTTGCTGTCAATGTTCACCCAGTGTGTTATGTTTGCTGTCAATGTTTCCCATATCTCTGTGTTATGTTTGCTGTCAATGTTCACCCAGTGTGTTATGTTTGCTGTCAATGTTCACCCAGTGTGTTATGTTTGCTGTCAATGTTCACCCAGTGTGTTATGTTTGCTGTCAATGTTCACCCAGTGTGTTATGTTTGCTGTCAATGTTCACCCAGTATTCTACCATGTGTGCTGTGATCTCTCTATCAGTGTGTCAGACCTGACTTGTGTATCCTCGATAGTATGAGACAATCAACAGAGACAGAGGCCAATATCAGCCTCAAACATTGCAGGAGGCTACAGGGATGAGACTGAACAAACACATCAACATTTGAAATGAAGCATCTACCAACAATCACATACATTATGTCAATGTATTCAATTATGTCAGCAAATTGTTTATAAACACTGAATAAAAGAACATACAAATAGAGAAGATGAAAACAACTGTTACAAGATGGCTGAAAACAGCTCTGTGACTGCTGGGCTTCACAAGTAGACAAGTCTAGACAATGTTTGTATTCAGTCATTTCTGTGACATTTTCTTACTCTGTCATGTTCAGGCTCAATGTGAATAAATACATCATATAAGACAATATTGGTTCTCTCACAGCCCATGATTGTAGTGATGTCAGGAGACAGACATATAAAACAATACAATGCTGGTTCTCTCATAGTCCATGATTGAAGTGATGTTAGAAGACAGACATATAAAACAATACAATGCTGGTTCTCTCATAGTCCATGATTGAAGTGATGTTAGAAGACAGACATATAAAACAATACAATATTGGTTCTCTCACAGCTCATGATTGTAGTGATGTCAGGAGACAGACACATAAAACAATACAGTATTGGTCCTCTCACAGTCTATGATTGAAGTGATGTCAGGAGATAGACATATAAAACAATACAATACTGGTTCTCTCACAGCCCATGATTGTAGTGATGTCAGGAATTGACAACATGCACAGCAAGTGAATGGAACACACCTGAAATCAGGAATCCTAGTTTTGGAATGTCTAGAAAAGTCAGTCACACTTACATGTTTCCTTATACTCAAATATTCACAGCAATCAACTCATACCAATGTATACATCAACATATGACAGCAGTAACCTAACAAATGACAGTAAATAAACCAAGCGACAGCATCTGTACGTACATCTCTACAATCTAAAATCCACAACAGCTTGTATCAGTTGGTGTGTTGACACCCCTCCATGGCATGTACACAAGACTGTCAAGAATCTTCCCGCATTGTCTTTCTTTGTCTCTCTTGCCACAGATCTTTCCAGTGGTCACAACATGTTTTAGTTTCCCTCTTCTCATAACATGACCACAAAATATGACTGTCTCTTTCTGATGTTTGTGATAAGTTGTCTTCGAGCAGTCGCCTTTTTCAAAACATCTAGGTTGCACTTCTTAGCTGTCCAAGGAATTCTAAGGATGCTTCTGTTAAACCACATCTCTGAGGTCTCAAGATATTGTTTGGCTTGTTTATTAATTGACCCAGATTCACGGCCGTATGTTAAAACTGGCTCTGTATAGCATGTGAGAGTTCCTTTTCTAACCTCCAATGACATGGATTTATTGCACTAAATGTTCTTCATTTGATCAAATGCAGTTTTGGCCTGTCCTATTCTATTCTTGATCTCCTTGATTCATTTTCCATGTGCCCAGATATTTAAATTTCTGTACTTGTCCTAAAATAACACCTTTGACATCTATTTACATTTAGGCACTATTCTTTTCTTGTAAATCACCATGACTTCTGCCTTCCCATTACTCAAGCTGAGTAACTAAACCTTACATACCACAATCAATGTAGACAACTGATGTATCCATGTCCATGGTAACGACAAATATGAATACAGACAATTTATCTTCCAGTATCCACCAAAATGTTACCCAAATAAACATACACGTACAGACATTACATGAATACAAACGTACAGACATTACATGAACACACATGCACAGACATTACATGAACACAATTGCACAGACATTACATGAACACACATGCACAGACATTACATAAACACACATGTACAGACATTACATGAACACACATGTACAGACATTACATGAATACACATGTGACATTACATAAACACACATGCACAGGCATTACATGAACACACATGTACAGACATTACATGAATACACATGTGACATTACATGAACACACATGCACAGACATTACATAAACACATGCACAGACATTACATGTACAGACGTTACTTGAACATACATGTACAGACATTACATGTACAGACGTTACATGTACAGACATTACATGAACACACATGCACAGACATTACATGAACACACATGTACAGACATGACATGAACACACATGTACAGACATGACATGAACACACATGTACAGACATGACATGAACACACATGTACAGACATTACATGAACACACATGTACAGATATTACATGAACACACATGTACAGACATGACATGAACACACATGTACAGATATTACATGAACACACATGTACAGATATTACATGAACACACATGTACAGACATGACATGAACACACATGTACAGACATGACATGAACACACATGTACAGACATGACATGAACACACATGTACAGACATGACATGAACACACATGTACAGATATTACATGAACACACATGTACAGATATTACATGAACACACATGCACAGACATGACATGAACACACATGTACAGATATTACATGAACACACATGTACAGATATTACATGAACACACATGTACAGATATTACATGAACATACATGTACAGATATTACATGAACACACATGTACAGATATTACATGAACACACATGTACAGATATTACATGAACACACATGTACAGATATTACATGAACACACATGTACAGACATGACATGAACACACATGTACAGACATGACATGAACACACATGTACAGACATGACATGAACACACATGTACAGATATTACATGAACACACATGTACAGATATTACATGAACACACATGTACAGACATGACATGAACACACATGTACAGACATGACATGAACACACATGTACAAATATTACATGAACACACATGTACAGACATTACATGAACACACATGTACAGACATTACATGAACACACATGTACAGACATTACATGAACACACATGTACAGACATGACATGAACACTGAACACACATGTACAGACATGACATGAACACACATGTACAGATATGACATGAACACACATGTACAGACATGACATGAACACACATGTACAGACATGACATGAACACACATGTACAGACATGACATGAACACACATGTACAGATATTACATGAACACACATGTACAGATATTACATGAACACACATGTACAGACATGACATGAACACACATGTACAGACATTACATGAACACACATGTACAGATATTACATGAACACACATGTACAGACATTACATGAACACACATGTACAGATATGACATGAACACACATGTACAGACATGACATGAACACACATGTACAGACATTACATGAACACACATGTACAGACAGAATTAGTGCACATGCACACATAAACATGTAACTATCTTAGACAGGAAAGGAAAAAACAACTACAGTAGCAAATATTCTGAAAACATCTATGCTGGCAGAGTCACCGCTGCAGTCACATGATTGCACAGTCAAGCAGTGACATGATCTGACACTCATGCAGTCACTTAACACAGTCAGCAGACAGACCACACCAGGTGTCACAATGTCAAGCAGGTGTGCTCCACAGCTCTAGGCTATAGCCTTAGCTTCTGGCAGGAACGTCTCCCAGTACTTGATCAGCTGTGGGTGAGAGAATCACAAACTGTCAGAATCATGAATCAACTTTACTGTAATGTTCACATAGGTAAATTTAGTTGAGAGAATCACATACTGTCTCAACCATAAATCAACTTTACTGTAATGTTCACACAGGTAAATGTAGGTGAGAGAATCACATACTGTCTGAGCCATAAATCAACTTTATTGTAATGTTCACATAGATAAATGTAGGTGAGAGAATCACATACTGTCTGAGCCATAAATCAACTTTACTGTAATGTTCACATAGATAAATGTAGGTGAGAGAATCACATACTGTCTGAGCCATAAATCAACTTTACTGTAATGTTCACATAGATAAATGTAGGTGAGAGAATCACATACTGTCGGAGCCATAAATCAACTTTACTGTAATGTTCACATAGATAAATGTAGGTGAGAGAATCACATACTGTCTGAGCCATAAATCAACTTTACTGTAATGTTCACACAGGTAAATGTAGGTGAGAGAATCACATACTGTCTGAGCCATAAATCAACTTTACTGTAATGTTCACATAGATAAATGTAGGTGAGAGAATCACATACTGTCTGAGCCATAAATCAACTTTATTTTAATGTTCACATAGGTAAATTTAGGTGAGAAAATCACAAACTGTCTGAACCATAAATCAACTTTATTTTAATGTTCACATAGGTAAATGTAGGTGAGAGAATCATATACTGTCTGAACTATAAATCAACTTTATTTTAATGTTCACATAGGTAAATGTAGGTGACAGTAGAGCTGTGACTGATGGATAGAAGTAGGTAGAATGTAGAAACAAGTAGGCTTGGGTCTGATGGATGGAAGTAGGCAGACAATGTATAAAAGTAGAGCTGTGACTGGTAGATGGAAGTAGGCAGACAGTGTATAAAAGTAGAGCTGTGACTGATGGATGGAAGTAGGCAGACAGTGTATACAAGTAGATCTGTGACTGATGGGTGGAAGTAGGCAGACAGTGTATACAAGTAGATCTGTGACTGATGGATGGAAGTAGGCAGAGAGTGTATACAAGTAGAGCTGTGATCGATGGATAGAAGTAGGCAGACAGTGTATACAAGTAGATCTGTGACTGATGGGTGGAAGTAGGCAGACAGTGTATACAAGTAGAGCTGTGACTGGTAGATGGAAGTAGGCAGGAAGTAGATAAAAGTAGAGCTGTAATCCATGGATGGAAGTAGGCAGACAGTGTATAAAAGTAGAGCTGTGATCGATGGATGGAAGTAGGCAGACAGTGTATAAAACTAGAGCTGTGATAGATGGATGGAAGTAGGCAGACAATGTATAAAAGTAGAGCTGTGATCGATGGATGGAAGTAGGCAGACAGTGTATACAAGTAGAGCTGTGATCGATGGATGGAAGTAGGCAGACAGTGTATACAAATAGAGATGTGACTGATGGGTGGAAGTAGGCAGACACTGTATAAAAGTAGAGCTGTGACTGATGGATGGAAGTAGGCAGACAGTGTACACAAATAGAGATGTGACTGATGGGTGGCAGTAGGCAGACACTGTATAAAAGTAGAGCTGTGACTGATGGATGGAAGTAGACAGACAGTGTATACAAATAGAGCTGTGACTGATGGATGGAAGTAGGCAGACAGAGAATACAAGTAGAGATGGATGGAAGTAGCAGTGTTTGTAGCAGCTCCTAACACAGAGGTCCTTCATGAAGGCTGGCATTTATATCATAAATGTTCTGGTGATAACATGTGAGACAGACATGACATGAACACACATGTGAGACAGACATGACATGAACACACATGTGAGACAGACATGACATGAACACACATGTGAGACAGAGATGACATGAACACACATGTGAGACAGACATGACATGAACACACATGTGAGACAGACATGACATGAACACACATGTGAGACAGACATGACATGAACACACATGTGAGACAGACATGACATGAACACACATGTGAGACAGACATGACATGAGCACACATGTGAGACAGAGAGGACATGAACACACATGTGAGACAGACATGACAAGAACACACATGTGAGACAGACATGACATGAGCACACATGTGAGACAGAGATGACATGAACACACATGTGAGACAGACATGACATGAACACACATGTGAGACAGACATGACATGAACACACATGTGAGACAGACATGACATGAACACACATGTGAGACAGACATGACATGAACACACATGTGAGACAGAGATGACATGAACACACATGTGAGACAGACATGACATGAACACACATGTGAGACAGACATGACATGAACACACATGTGAGACAGACATGACATGAACACACATGTGAGACAGACATGACATGAACACACATGTGAGTGTCTGTAGGTGACCAAAAGAACAAATACAGTCTATGGTTGCAACAGAGACAAGTGTAAACATGTTTCTGACCATCTCAAGGGAGACAAATGTGAACAGGTTTCTGACCATCTGAAGGGAGACAAGTGTGAACATGTTTCTGGCCATCTGAAGGGAGACAAGTGTGAACAGGTTTCTGGCCATCTGAAGGGAGACAAGTGTGAACAGGTTTCTGACCATCTGAAGGGAGACAAGTGTGAACATGTTTCTGACCATCTAAAGTGAGACAAGTGTGAACAGGTTTCTGACCATCTGAAGGCAGACAAGTGTGAACAGGTTTCTGGCCATCTGAAGGGAGACAAGTGTGGGTGGGTATATTTCTGACCATCTGAAAGGAGACAAGTGTGAACAGATTTCTGGCCAGCTGAAGGGAGACAAGTGTGGGTATGTTTCTGACCATCTGAAGGTAGACAAGGGTGAACAGGTTTCTGGACATCAGAAGGGAGACAAGTGTGAACATGTTTTTGACCATCTGAAGGGAGACAAGTGTGAACATGTTTTTGATCATCTGGAGGGAGACAATATTTAACAAGTTTATGACCATCTGAAGGGAGACAAGATTTAACAAGTTTATGACCATCTGAAGGGAGACGTGTAAACAGGTTTCTGACCATCTGAAGGAAGGCAAGTGTGAACAGGTTTATAACCATCTGAAAGGAGACAAGTGTGAACAAGTTTCTGACCATCTGAAAGGAGACAAGAGTGAACAGGTTTCTGACCAGCTGAAGGGAGACAAGTGTGAACATGTTTCTAACCATCTGAAAGGAGACAAGAGTGAACAGGTTTCTAACCATCTGAAGGGAGACAAGTGTGAACAGGTTTATAACCATCTGAAAGGAGACAAGTGTGAACAAGTTTCTGACCATCTGAAAGGAAACAAGAGTGAACAGGTTTCTAACCATCTGAAGGGAGACAGGTGTGAACAGGTTTCTGACCATCTGAAGGGAGACAATCACTTACCTTCTGCTGGCTGTCCAGGAGAACCTCCAGGTATTTGACCACTCCATCCTTGAAGTCAGTCACTCGAAGTTTCTCAAACCGAAACATTTCTTTCTTGATGTTCTGGGACATTGTCTCAAAGTCCTCCTGGCACTTCTCCACTTTCTGTTCCCACTGAAAATATTTCACAGTTATCAAAGTGAGATGATTTGAATCAACAACAGGAAGATTACAGGAATCAACAACATGGCGATTACAGAAATCAACAACAGGGAGCTTATGGGAATCAACAGGAGGGAGATTATGAAAATCAATAACAGGGAGATTATGGAAACTAACAACAGGGAGATGATGGGAATCAACCATGGGAAGATGATGTGAATCAACAATGGGAAGAGGATTTGAATAAAAAATGGATATTATGGGAATCAACAACTTGGAGATTGTAAAAATCAGCAGCAGGCAGATTATGGGAATCAACAAAGGGGAAAAGGTGGGAATCAACAACAGGGAGATTATGGGAACCAACTAAAGGGAGATTATAGGAATTAACAATGGAGAGATTATGGGATCATCAGTGGGGATATTATGTGAATTCACAGTGTGGATATTATGGGAATTCACACAATGTGAATCTACAATGGGGAGACTTAAGGAATCAATAATGGTAAGGTGATTACACCAGAGCAACCACTAAACACCAACACCAACCACTAAACACCAGACTGACCACTAAAGACTAGACCAACAACTAAATACCAGACTGACCACTAAAGACTAGACCAACAACTAAACACCAGACTGACCACTAAAGACAAGACCGACCACTAAACACCAGACTGACCACTAAACACCAGACTGACCACTAAACATCAGACTGACCACTAAACATCAGACTGACCACTAAACATCAGACTGACCACTAAACATCAGACTGACCACTAAACACCAGACTGACCACTAAACACCAGACAAACCACTAAAGACCAGACCAACACCAACCACTAAATACCAGACCGACCACTAAACACCAGACTGACCACTAAACACCAGACTGACCACTAAACACCAGACAAACCACTAAAGACCAGACCAACACCAACCACTAAACACCAGACTGACCACTAAACACCAGACTGACCACTAAACACCAGACTGACCACTAAACACCAGACTGACCACTAAACACCAGACAAACCACTAAAGACCAGACCAATAACTAAACACCAGACTTACCACTAAAGATAAGACCAACCAATTAACACCAGACTGTCCACTAAAGACAAGACCAACCACTAAACATCAGACTGACCACTAAAGACAAGACCAACCACTTAACACCAGACTGACCACTAAAGACAAGACCAACCACTCAACACCAGACTGACCACTAAAGACAAGACCAACCACTTAACACCAGACTGACCACTAAAGACAAGACCAACCACTAAACATCAGACTGACTACTAAAGAAGGGACCAACCATTAAACACCAGACTGACCACTAAAGACAAGAACAACTACCAAACACCAAGGGAACCACTAAACACAACACCAAGGGAACCACTAAACACCAGGGGAACCAATAAACACCAGGGGAACCAATAAACACCAGGGGAACCAATAAACACCAGGGGAACCAATAAACACCAGGGGAACCAATAAACACCAGGGGAACCAATAAACACCAGGGGAACCAATAAACACTAGGGGAACTAATAAACACCACGGGAACCAATAAACACCAGGAGAACCAATAAACACCAGGTGAACCAATAAACACCAAGGGAAGCACTAAACACCAGGTGAAGCACTAAACACCAGGGGAACCAATAAACACCAGGGGAACCATCTAACACCAGGGGAACCACTAAACACCAGGTGAAGCACTAAACACTAGGTGAAGCACTAAACACCAGGGGAAGCACTAAACAGCAGGGGAAATACTAAACACCAGGGGAACCACTAAACACCAGGGGAACCACCAATTACGCCAAGGGAACCACTAAACACCAGGGGAATCACTAAACACCAGGGGAACCACTAAGTACCAGGGGAACCAATAAACACCAGGGGAACCACTAAACACCAGGGGAACCATTATTCACCAGGGGAACCAATAAACACCAGGGGAACCAATAAACACCAAGTGAAACATTAAACACCAGTGAACCACTAAACACCAGGTGAACCATTAAACACCAGGTGAACCACTAAACACCAGGTGAAGCACTAAACACCAGGTGAAGCACTAAACACCAGGGAAACCACTAAACACCAGGTGAAGCACTAAACACCAGGTGAAGCACTAAACACCAGGTGAAGCACTAAACACCAGGTGAAGCACTAAACACCAGGTGAAGCACTAAACACCAGGTGAAGCACTAAACACCAGGTGAAGCACTAAACACCAGGTGAAGCACTAAACACCAGGGAAACCACTAAACACCAGGTGAAGCACTAAACACCAGGCCAATCACTAAAGACTTCTATAACCCAGCAGTGCTGGACAGAAGAGCAGATGTCTACATGGCTAGTGTTGAATAAACACACAGAATATTTAAAAATTAATCAGATTAAGCATTGTTGTGACATATAAAAACCAATGCCCACTTTGAGAAACTGCAAGTCTCAACCAGCCCTCTCACCTCAGTGATCTCAGCCTGGGCTTGTGAGATCTTGTCCATCTTGTTCTGTGCCTCCAGCTTGGCCTTGTTGTCTCGCTTCTTGCCTAACGTTGCTTCTGCATCCTTCCATGTTTTGTAAGTTTTTATTCTCTCATAAAACACATCCTGAGCAGAATAAATGAGCAAACGGAATCAATAAGCAATCATAAAAAATCAACAAGAAGAACAAATAAATGAGCAGGGACAATAAATTTGTGAACAGAAAAAAATTCAGCAATCACAAGAAAAAAAACAGCGTACAGAAAAAAAGACAAGCAAATAGAAAACAATTGAACAAGCAGAAAAACTGAGCAAGAAGAAAAAAATGACCAAAGAGAATCAAATGAGCAAATAGGTCCTACAAGAGAGTGCAGCCTAGGTCCTACGACTGCATGCAACCCAGGTCGCATGACTGTATGCAGGATAACATGACACTCCCGCAACATAGGACAAGCCGTGCGACAGGACATTTATGAACGGGGAGGGAAGTCACTCTCTTTCTGGGCCCAAAAACCTGAGTTGTAATAAATAAGCAAATAGAATAAATGAGCAAACAGAATAAATGAACAGAATAAATGAGCAAATAGAAGGTCATACAACAGATTTCACCAGGAGAATAATACAGCAGATTAAACAGCTGAGCCATGAAAACGCAGTGTCCAACAGATGAGATCACACTTGTATAAATGACTAGAATAAACAGCTGAGCCATGAAAACGCAGTGACCAACAGATGAGATCACACTTGTATAAATGACAGTAGATTAAACAGCTGAGCCATGAAAACAGTGTCCAACAGATGAGATCACACTTGTATAAATGACAGTAGATTAAACAGCTGAGCCATGAAAACACAGTGTCCAACAGATGAGATCACACTTGTATAAATGACTAGAATAAACAGCTGAGCCATGAAAACGAAGTGCCCAACAGATGAGATCACACTTGTATAAATGACAGTAGATAAACCAGCTGAGCCATGAAAACACAGTGTCCAACAGATGAGATCACACTTGTATAAATTACAGTAGATAAACCAGCTGAGCCATGAAAACACAGTGTCCAACAGATGAGATCACACTTGTATAAATGACAGTAGATTAAACAGCTGAGCCATGAAAACAGTGTCCAACAGATGAGATCACACTTGTATAAATGACGGTAGATTAAACAGCTGAGCCATGAAAACACAGTGTCCAACAGATGAGATCACACTTGTATAAATGACAGTAGATTAAACAGCTGAGCCATGAAAACGCAGTGTCCAACAGACGAGATCACACTTGTATAAATGACAGCAGATTAAACAGCTGAGCCATGAAAACACAGTGTCCAACAGATGAGATCACACTTGTATAAATGACAGTAGATAAACCAGCTGAGCCATGAAAACACAGTGTCCAACAGATGAGATCACACTTGTATAAATGACTAGATTTAACAGCTGAGCCATGAAAACGCAGTGTCCAACAGATGAGATCACACTTGTATAAATGACTAGATTTAACAGCTGAGCCATGAAAATGCAGTGTCCAACAGATGAGATCACACTTGTATAAATGACAGTAGATAAACCAGCTGAGCCATGAAAACACAGTGTCCAACAGATGAGATCACACTTGTATAAATGACTAGATTTAACAGCCTAACCATGAAAATGCAGTGTCCAACAGATGAGATCACACTTGTATAAATGACAGCATTTAACTGTAGAGATTTATGTGATCAGCAGCAGGAATACCACAAACAGCTAGTAACAATAAAAATAACACAGTTACATCAGCAAGGGTCATCTCATCAGAGAAATAACAGCCACATCAGCAAGGGTCACCTCATCAGAGAAATAACAGCCAGTGTCACCTCACCATGAAATAACAGCCACACCAGTAAGGGTCACCTCACCAGAGAAATAACACAGCCACATCAGCAATTGTCATCTCATCAGAAAAATAAAAGTCACATCAACAAGGGTCATTTCATCAGAAAAATAACACAGCCACATCAGCAATGGTCACCTCACTTGAGAAATAACAGCCACATGAGCAATTTACAGAACACCACTGCTACCATAATATGACAGGCTCACATTGTTACAATTACATTTAAAAAGACACCAACTGAAACTTATAAAACGATGAAACAAACTGCTGCAAGTCAAGCAGAAAAAAAGTACCTTAACTGCCCCCATTAGAGCCACATAATCTTTCATTAACTCTGCCATGAGAAAGAAATCTGCGTCTGCCTGCTCCTTGTGTATGGTCTCAATCTTCTCCTCCGTCTCTGCCAACTGGGACAAGGCTCGAGACAAGGCCGTGTGCTCCTCCACGTTTCCCAACATGGCCGCACTTCTAGCAAAAGCTGCAGCACTGATACTCAGTTCTAGGAAAGTAACAGTGACAAGGTCACTAGAACACAGTCTGTCAAACTTATTAACAAGTGACAAGGTCACTAGAACACAGTCTGTCAAACTTATCAACAAGTGACAAGGTCACTAGAACACAGTCTGTCAAACTTATCAACAAGTGACAAGGTCACTAGAACACAGTCTGTCAAACTTATCAACAAGTGACAAGGTCACTAGAACAAAGTCTGTCAAACTTATCAACAAGTGACAAGGTCACTAGAACACAGTCTGTCAAACTTATCAACAAGTGACAAGGTCACTAGAACAAAGTCTGTCAAACTTATCAACAAGTGACAAGGTTACTAGAACACAGTCTGTCAAACTTATCAACAAGTGACAAGGTCACTAGAACACAGTCTGTCAAACTTATCAACAAGTGACAAGGTCACTAGAACACAGTCTGTCAAACTTATCAATAAATGAAAAGGTCACTAGAACACAGTCTGTCAAACTTATCAATAAATGACAAGGTCACTAGAACACAGTCTGTCAAACTTATCAACAAGTGACAAGGTCACTAGAACACAGTATGTCAAACGTATCAATAAATAACAAGGTCACTAGAACACAGTCTGTCAAACGTATCAATAAATAACAAGGTCACTAGAACACAGTCTGTCAAACTTATCAATAAATAACAAGGTCACTAGAACACAGTATGTCAAACGTATCAATAAATAACAAGGTCACTAGAACACAGTATGTCAAACGTATCAATAAATAACAAGGTCACTAGAACACAGTCTGTCAAACTTATCAATAAATGAAAAGGTCACTAGAACACAGTCTGTCAAACTTATCAATAAATGACAAGGTCACTAGAACACAGTCTGTCAAACTTATCAACAAATTACAAGGTCACTAGAACATTCTCGAACTTATCAACAAATGACAAGGTCACTAGAACACAGTCTGTCAAACTTATCAATAAATAACAAGGTCACTAGAACACAGTCTGTCAAACTTATCAATAAATAACAAGGTCACTAGAACACAGTCTGTCAAACTTTTCAACAAATGACAAGGTCACTAGAACATTCTCAAACTTATCAACAAATGACAAGGTCACTAGATAATTCTCAAACTTATCAACAAATGACAAGGTCACTAGAACATTCTCAAACTTATCAACAAATGACAAGGTCACTAGAACATTCTCAAACTTATCAACAAATGACAAGGTCACTAGAACATTCTCAAAGTCATAAACAAATGACAAGGTCACTAGAACACAGTCTGTCAAACTTATCAACAAATGACAAGGTCACTAGAACATTCTCAAACTTATCAACAAATGACAAGGTCACTAGAACACAGTGTGTCAAACTTATCAACAAATGACAAGGTCACTAGAACATTCTCAAACTTATCAACAAATGACAAGGTCACTAGAACATTCTCAAACTTATCAACAAATGACAAGGTCGCTAGAACACAGTCTGTCAAACTTATCAACAAATGACAAGGTCACTAGAACATTCTCAAACTTATCAACAAATGACAAGGTCACTAGAACATTCTCAAACTTATCAACAAATGACAAGGTCACTAGAACATTCTCAAACTTATCAACAAATGACAAGGTCACTAGAACATTCTCAAAGTCATCAACAAATGGCAAGGTCACTAGAACACAGTCTGTCAAACTTATCAACAAATTACAAGGTCACTATAACATTCTCAAAACTTATCAACAAATGAAAAGGTCACTATAACATTCTCAAACTTATCAACAAATGACAAGGTCACTAGAACATTCTCAAACTTATCAACAAATGACAAGGTCACTAGAACATTCTCAAACTTATCAACAAATGACAAGGTCACTAGAACATTCTCAAAGTCATAAACAAATGACAAGGTCACTAGAACACAGTCTGTCAAACTTATCAACAAATGACAAGGTCACTAGAACATTCTCAAACTTATCAACAAATGACAAGGTCACTAGAACACAGTCTGTCAAACTTATCAACAAATGACAAGGTCACTAGAACATTCTCAAACTTATCAACAAATGACAAGGTCACTAGAACACAGTCTGTCAAACTTATCAACAAATGACAAGGTCACTAGAACATTCTCAAACTTATCAACAAATGAAAAGGTCACTAGAACACAGTGTGTCAAACTTATCAACAAATGACAAGGTCACTAGAACATTCTCAAACTTATCAACAAATGACAAGGTCACTAGAACATTCTCAAACTTATCAACAAATGACAAGGTCACTAGAACATTCTCAAACTTATCAACAAATGACAAGGTCACTAGAACATTCTCAAAGTCATCAACAAATGGCAAGGTCACTAGAACACAGTCTGTCAAACTTATCAACAAATTACAAGGTCACTATAACATTCTCAAAACTTATCAACAAATGAAAAGGTCACTAGAACACAGTCTGTCAAACTTATCAACAAATGACAAGGTCACTAGATAATTCTCAAAGTCATCAACAAATGACAAGGTTGCTAGAACACAGTCTGTCAAACTTATCAACAAATGACAAGGTCACTAGAACATTCTCAAACTTATCAACAAATGACAAGGTCACTATAACATTCTCAAACTTATCAACAAATGATAAGGTCACTATAACATTCTCAAACTTATCAACAAATGACAAGGTCACTAGAACATTCTCAAACTTATCAACAAATGACAAGGTCACTATAACATTCTCAAACTTATCAACAAATGATAAGGTCACTATAACATTCTCAAACTTATCAACAAATGACAAGGTCACTAGAACATTCTCAAACGTATCAACAAATGATAAGGTCACTATAACATTCTCAAAGTCATCAACAAATGATAAGGTCACTATAACATTCTCAAACTTATCAACAAAAAACAAGGTCACTAGAACATTCTCAAACTTATCAACAAATGACAAGGTCACTAGAACATTCTCAAACTTATCAACAAATGACAAGGTCACTAGAACATTCTCAAACTCATCAACAAATGATAAGGTCACTATAACATTCTCAAACTCATCAACAAATGATTCTTTCCTCAGGACCTCAAAGTCCAAAAAAGTTGTATCTACAATACTATTTAGCTCAGCTGCCACTACCTGTCCCACCTCTCAGGGTAACTTCCTGTCCAGTATCTACAGATCACAACAACATGCATTCTTAGACGGGTCTACTGTTGAAGGGTTTGATGGCAATGTTGTGATAGATAAGTGAATCTGTGCATTGTTGTCTGTAATTGTATCGCAGTCTCTCTCTCTCTCTGTGTGAGTGTGTGTACTCATGCATGCGTGTGTGCATGTGTGGCGCGCTGTATGTGTTGTGACTCACTTCTGGTGTGGAATGAGTAGCACATGTCCTCTGTTGTCATTCATTTCAGCTCTCTCCTCGTCTACTGCCCTCTCTCCTCCTCCACTGCCCTCTCTCCTCCTCCACTGCCCTCTCTCCTCCTCTACTGCCCTCTCTCCTCCTCTACTGCCCTCTCTCCTCCTCCACTGCCCTCTCTCCTCCTCCACTGCCCTCTCTCCTCCTCCACTGCCCTCTCTCCTCCTCCACTGCCCTCTCTCCTCCTCCACTGCCCTCTCTTTCCCCCCAGTTCTTTAAGACAGACCATAATGTTGAAGTAAAGATCATGTTGAAGATGTATGCAGCACTGAGACAAACCTTTGCGATGTTGTGATAGTATCTCTAGACTGGCATGTAGTTTCTTCAGCTGTAGGTACAGGGCTTCCACTTGCTGCTGTTTCTCCTCAAACCACTGAAATCAAACAAAGATGGACAATGTGTCAACACTTTCCCACAAACCATATACTCTGCTGTGATGAAGGCATGTGACCAGAACCCACATAGTACACACCCCACAAACCATCTACTCTGCTGTGATGAAGGCAGGTGACCAGAACCCACATAGTACACACACCACAAACCATATACTCTGCTGTGATGAAGGCATGTGACCAGAACCCACATAGTACACACCCCACAAACCATATACTCTGCTGTGATGAAGGCAGGTGACCAGAACCCACATACACCCCACACACCATATACTCTGCTGTGATGAAGGCATGCGACCAGAACCCACATACACCCCACACACCATATACTCCTGCTGTGATGAAGGCATGTGACCAGAACCCACATAGTGCACACCCCACAAGGAGAGATCTCTACTGATGCTGGCCTGCAGGGATGGAACTCAAATCATCCCCACCCACTGCTGATCATGACTGGCACTGAGTCAGTCCTGTCCTGTAGTCCTATGTGAAGTATAACTTTTCTCATGCTGTCACAAGCATGTCCTGTAGTGCTATGTGAAGTATAACTTTTCTCATGCTGTCACAAGCATGTCCTGTAGTGCTATGTGAAGTATAACTTTTCTAATGCTGTCACAAGCCTGATCTGTAGTGCTATGTGAAGTATAACTTTTCTAATGCTGTAACAAGCTTGTCCTGTAGTGCTATGTGAAGTCTAACTTTTCTAATGCTGTAACAAGCTTGTCCTGTAGTCCTATGTGAAGTATAACCTTTCTAATGCTGTAACAAGCTTGTCCTGTAGTGCTATGTGAAGTATAACTTTTCTAATGCTGTAACAAAGCCTGTCCTGTAGTGATATGTGAAGTATAACTTTTCTCATGCTGGCACAAGCTTGTCCTGTAGTGCTATGTGAAGTATAACTTTTCTAATGCTGTAACAAGCCTGTCCTGTAGTGCTATGTGAAGTATTACTTTTCTAATGCTGTAACAAGCTTGTCTTGTAGTGCTATGTGAAGTATAACTTTTCTAATGTTGTAACAAGCTTGTCCTGTAGTGCTATGTGAAGTATACCTTTTCTAATGTTGTAACAAGCTTGTCCTGTAGTGCTATGTGAAGTATAAATTTTCTAATGCTGTCACAAGCTTGTCCTGTAGTGCTATGTGAAGTATAACTTTTCTAATGCTGTAACAAGCCTGTCCTGTAGTGCTATGTGAAGTATAACTTTTCTAATGCTGTCACAAGCCTGTCCTGTAGTGCTATGTGAAGTATAACTTTTCTAATGCTGTAACAAGCTTGTCCTGTAGTGCTATGTGAAGTATAACTTTTCTAATGCTGTAACAAGCTTGTCCTGTAGTGCTATGTGAAGTATAACTTTTCTAATGCTGTAACAAGCTTGTCCCATAGTGCTATGGGAAGTATAACTTTTCTCATGTTGTAACAAGCCTGTCCTGTAGTGCTATTGAAAATTTACCCTGGCTCATACTGGAAATAGACTGTCAAATTAGGGCTGTACCGAATAGTGATTTTCACTATTCGGCCGAATACAAATAGCAGGACCAACTATTCGGCCGAATAAGAATACGAATAGTGAATAGCGTATAAAATATATCTTAAAAAAAACAACACACACACACATTCATAATGTCAAATGTACGCTGAAATTTTACTTCATATAAAGTAGCACAGAATAGTCATCTTCTTCTCTAGAATTCTGAGCCCTTGGGGATTACTGTTGCAGATATCACCCGTCTCCATTCATCTCTCTAGCTGGCCTTATCTTCACAATTTGTGACATCAGCTGTTTGCAGGTTTTGCTGGACATTATCTCTTCAAACTTCTTTCTTGTCTGCCTCGTGGTCTATACCCATTAATGGTGATTTAAACAGATTATGTGTTACATTGTTGCTTCTCACTCTCCATTCCCCGCTGTTAGCATCTTTGATAGGTCAAAAGATTTGTCGTAAGACTGTTTTCGAAAACCCGTAATAGGGCCCCATTTCTTTTATTTCTGTTTTTAGTTTCAAAGCCATATAAAATGACTGGTTTTATCAACGTTTTATACATTTTGATCTTGGTGCTGCGAGACAGACACTTTGACTTTCGATGTTGAGGGCATATTAAACTTTATTTCTACATTGTATTCTAGATTGTATTTCTTCTCTCAGCATGTTTGAGCAGTTGAAGTTTGCACCCAAGTACTTATATGTTCCCGTTCGTTTGATTTTCATATTATCGACTTGGATGTGGCCGGAGTTTAAATTCTTTCCATGCCTAGTTAGTATTCGTACAGAATAGTAAACATTTTAAAACATTTTATTTTTTGCATCCTTCAGTCAGTCCGTGGTAACTAATAACTTGGAATGAAAGAATCCTAAGTATTTTAACAAGTAACTCAACTTGGAAATTGTCAGTGACAGCTTAGTTAATGCAGGAAAGCAGCATTAGCTTTCAACAAAACCAATTGTTCCATTTTGTCAGCATTAAGGCCGTGTATGCAGAGCAGGTGTAAGGTAAGTACTATTCGTATTCGGCCAACTGCAACTATTCAGCGAATACCGAATAGTCAATAGGTCAACTATACCTAGTCACTCTCCTCACATGACTAACCTCGTCACTCTCCTCCCATGACTAACATGATCGCTCTCCTCACATGATTAACCTCATCACTGTCCTCACATGACTAACCTCATCACTGTCCTCACATGAATAACCTCATCACTCTCCTCACATGACTAACCTCATCACTTACCTCACATGACTAACCTCATCACTGTCCTCACATGAATAACCTTATCACTCTCCTCACATGACTAACCTCATCACTCTCCTCACATGACTAACCTCATCACTTACCTCACATGACTAACCTCATCACTCTCCTCACATGACTAACCTCGTCACTCTCCTCACGACTAACCTCATCACTCTCCTAACATGACTAACCTCATCACTCTCCTCACATGACTAACCTCATCACTTACCTCACATGACTAACCTCATCACTTACCTCACATGACTAACCTCATCACTTACCTCACATGACTAACCTCATCACTTACCTCACATGACTAACCTCATCACTTACCTCACATGACTAACCTTATCACTCTCCTCACATGACTAACCTTATCACTCTCCTCACATGACTAACCTCATTGCTCTTCTCACATGACTAACCTCATCACTTACCTCATATGACTAACCTCATCACTCTCCTCACATGACTAACCTCATCACTCTCCTCACATGACTAACCTCATCACTTACCTCACATGACTAACCTCATTACTCTCCTCACATGACTAACCTTGTCACTCTCCTCACATGACTAACCTCATTGCTCTCCTCACATGACTAGCCTCGTCGCACTCCTCACATGACTAACCTCATCGCTCTCCTCACATGACTAACCTCATCGCTCTCCTCCACCTTGAGTGTGATTTTATCAAAGGACTCTCCAACTTTACTAAACAGTCTCTTGACACCCGCCCCACTGAGAGCTGAGGTGCTGGTAGATTTGGGAAGGTCTCCATCTTTCTCCAAGAACTCCCTGAAGTCTGGGTCACTAGCTAGAGTCGGGTGCATGGCTGTTCGTGTCAGGTATCTGAAACAGAATCAATGTTTACGCTGAACTAAAAACTGTTCTCTTTGTCTAATGAATGTCTAACAGATGAGATGATGAGTAGTCAAAGTTCATAACACATCATGAGAACCAACTGAGCTGTTTAAATGAAGGTTTTCACTTCAGCAAAGTTATGACATGGCCACTGTAAGGTGACTCTCTGCTCTCAGAGCAGAAAGGTAACTGAGGAATTGGCTGGTAAACTGAAACTGAAGACCTAGTCTGTCAAAGCATCAGTCAGGACCTTGCTACTTAACAGACCCTGGAACATGGTTGCCACACAGACCAGACAGCAGAACTTGGTGACCACACAGACCAGACAGCAGAACTTGGTGACCACACAGACCAGACAGCAGAACTTGGTGATCACACAGGCGAACAGTAGAACATGGTGATCACACAGACCAGACAGTAGAACATGGTGATCACACAGACCAGACAGTAGAACATGGTGATCACACAGACCAGACAGTAGAACATGGTGATCACACAGACCAGACAGTAGAACATGGTGATCACACAGACCAGACAGTAGAACATGGTGATCACACAGACCAGACAGTAGAACATGGTGATCACACAGACCAGACAGTAGAACATGGTGATCACACAGACCAGACAGTGAAACATGGTGACCACACAGACCAGACAGCAGAACTTAGTGACCACACAGACCAGACAGTGAAACATGGTGACCACACAGACCAGATATTGGAACACGGTGACCACACAGACAAGACAGTGGAACATGGTTACCACACAGACCAGACAGTGGAACATGGTTACCACACAGACCAGATATTGGAACACGGTGACCACACAGACAAGACAGTGGAACATGGTTACCACACAGACCAGACAGTAGAACATGGTTACCACACAGACCAGATATTGGAACACGGTGACCACACAGACAAGACAGTGGAACATGGTTACCACACAGACAAGACAGTGGAACATGGTTACCACAGAGACAAGACAGTGGAACATGGTTACCACACAGACAAGACAGTGGAACATGGTTACCACACAAAACAAAGACAGTGAAACATGGTTACCATGACAGACATGGACAGTGGAACATGGTTACCATAACAGGGGACAAGACAGTGGAGTGGAACAGGTTAATGGCGGGAGTGGACACAGACATAACAGTGGAACATGGTTACCACACAGACCAGATATTGGAACACGGTGACCACACAGACAAGACAGTGGAACATGGTTACCACACAGACAAGACAGTGGAACATGGTTACCACACAGACAAGACAGTGGAACATGGTTACCACACAGACAAGACAGTGGAACATGGTTACCACACAGACAAGACAGTGGAACATGGTTACCACACAGACAAGACAGTGGAACATGGTTACCACACAGACCAGATATTGGAACACGGTGACCAGACAGGGGAGAGTGGAACATGATCAACACAGATGGAACATGGTTAACATGAGAGACCAGACAGTGGAGTGGAACATGGTTACCACACAGACAAGACAGTGGAACATGGTTACCACACAGACAAGACAGTGGAACATGACCACACAGATGAGAGAGTGGAACATGATCACACAGATGAGAGAGTGGAACATGATCACACAGATGAGAGAGTGGAACATGATCACACAGATGAGAGAGTGGAACATGATCACACAGATGAGAGAGTGGAACATGATCACACAGATGAGAGAGTGGAACATGATCACACAGATGAGAGAGTGGAACATGATCACACAGATGAGAGAGTGGAACATGGTGACTACGCAGACCAGACAGTTGAACATGATCACACAGATGAGACAGTTGAACATGATCACACAGATGAGAGAGTGGAACATGATCACACAGATGAGAGAGTGGAACATGATCACACAGATGAGAGAGTGGAACATGATCACACAGATGAGAGAGTGGAACATGATCACACAGATGAGAGAGTGGAACATGATCACACAGATGAGAGAGTGGAACATGATCACACAGATGAGAGAGTGGAACATGATCACACAGATGAGAGAGTGGAACATGATCACACAGATGAGAGAGTGGAACATGATCACACAGATGAGAGAGTGGAACATGATCACACAGATGAGAGAGTGGAACATGATCACACAGATAAGGGAGTGGAACATGATCACACAGATGGGGGAGTGGAACATGATCACACAGAGATGAAGGGACAGTGGAACATGATCACACAGATGAGAGAGTGGAACATGATCACACAGATGAACATGGGAGTGGAACATGATCACACAGATGAGAGAGTGGAACATGAGGGGAACATGACACAGATGAGGGGAGTGGAACATGATCACACAGATGAGAGAGAGTGGAACATGATCACACAGATGAGGGAGTGGAACATGATCACACAGATGAGGGAGTGGAACATGATCACACAGATGAGAGAGTGGAACATGATCACACAGATGAGAGAGTGGAACATGATCACACAGATGAGAGAGTGGAACATGATCACACAGATGAGAGAGTGGAACATGATCACACAGATGAGAGAGTGGAACATGATCACACAGATGAGAGAGTGGAACATGATCACACAGATGAGAGAGAGTGGAACATGATCACACAGATGAGAGAGTGGAACATGATCACACAGATGAGAGAGTGGAACATGATCACACAGATGAGAGAGTGGAACATGATCACACAGATGAGAGAGTGGAACATGATCACACAGATGAGAGAGTGGAACATGATCACACAGATGAGAGAGTGGAACATGATCACACAGATGAGAGAGTGGAACATGATCACACAGATGAGAGAGTGGAACATGATCACACAGATGAGAGAGTGGAACATGATCACACAGATGAGAGAGGGGAACATGATCACACAGATGAGAGAGGGGAACATGATCACACAGATGAGACAGTTGAACATGATCACACAGATGAGAGAGTTGAACATGATCACACAGATGAGAGAGTGGAACATGATCACACAGATGAGAGAGGGGAACATGATCACACAGATGAGAGAGTGGAACATGATCACACAGATGAGAGAGTGGAACATGATCACACAGATGAGACAGTTGAACATGATCACACAGATGAGACAGTTGAACATGATCACACAGATGAGACAGTTGAACATGATCACACAGATGAGACAGTTGAACATGATCACACAGATGAGACAGTTGAACATGATCACACAGATGAGAGAGGCGAACATGATCACACAGATGAGGGAGTGGAACATGATGACCACAGAGAGCAGACAGTGGAACATGGTGATCACTCAGACCAGACAGTGGAACATGGTGATCACTCAGACCAGACAGTGGAACATGGTGATCACGCAGTGGAACATGGTGACCATACAGACGAGTTAGTGGAACATGGTGATCACACAGACAAGTTAGTGGAACATGGTGATCACACAGACAAGTTAGTGGAACATGGTGATCACACAGACAAGTTAGTGGAACATGGTGATCACACAGACGAGTTAGTGGAACATGGTGATCACTCAGACGAGTTAGTGGAACATGGTAACCACACAGACGAGTTAGTGGAACATGGTGATCACACAGTGGAACAATGAGAACACAGTGGCAACATAAAATAAATACATGAGCACAATGATAACAAACAGAAACGCAATGAAAACACAAAATAAACAGATAACCATAATGACAACAAAGAGAAAATAATGACAACAAAGAGAACACAATGCCAACAATGAGAACATAATGACAACAATGGGAACACAATAACATAATGACAACAATAAAAACATAATGACAACAATAAAAACATAATGACAACAATAAAAACATAATGACAACAATGAGAACACAAAGACAACAATGAGAACACAAAGATAACAATGACAGTACAATCACATCGATGAGAACACAATGAGAACAGGATGCAAACATTGATAAAACAATGAACTGTGAGAGAGTACCTTTCTAGAGCTGCTCGCCGTCTCTCTATAAAATCTGTTGACCCAGAGTCTTCCTTAGACATCTTGACTTTGGTCATCCCTGCGTGGACATCCAACACATCAAGTCACTATGGCTGTAATCGGACCAGATCATGGAGGACACCTGACTACTCTACTTTTATTAGGTCCTCACAGTCGCGCAATGTTAGGTCCTCACAACATTAAAGCCTCACAACAGTCACACAACATCAGCTCCTCACAACATCAGCTCCTCACAACATCAGCTCCTCACAACCACACATCAGCTCCTCACAACCACACAACATCAGCTCCTCACAACCACACAACATCAGCTCCTCACAACCACACACATCAGCTCCTCACAACCACACAACATCAGCTCCTCACAACCACACATCAGCTCCTCACAACCACACAACATCAGCTCCTCACAACCACACATCAGCTCCTCACAACCACACATCAGCTCCTCACAACCACACAACATCAGCTCCTCACAACCACACAACATCAGCTCCTCACAACCACACATCAGCTCCTCACAACCACACAACATCAGCTCCTCACAACCACACAACATCAGCTCCTCACAACCACACATCAGCTCCTCACAACCACACAACATCAGCTCCTCACAACCACACATCATCAGCTCCTCACAACCACACAACATCAGCTCCTCACAACCACACAACATCAGCTCCTCACAACCACACAACATCAGCTCCTCACAACCACACAACATCAGCTCCTCACAACCACACATCAGCTCCTCACAACCACACATCAGCTCCTCACAACCACACAACATCAGCTCCTCACAACCACACATCAGCTCCTCACAACCACACAACATCAGCTCCTCACAACCACACATCAGCTCCTCACAACCACACATCAGCTCCCTCACACAACACCACACATCAGCTCCTCACAACCACACATCAGCTCCTCACAACCACACATCAGCTCCTCACAACCACACATCAGCTCCTCACAACCACACATCAGCTCCTCACAACCACACATCAGCTCCTCACAACCACACATCAGCTCCTCACAACCACACATCAGCTCCTCATAAAATCAGCTCCTCACAACCACACATCAGCTCCTCATAAAATCAGCTCCTCACAACATCAGCTCCTCACAACATCAGCTCCTCACAACATCAGCTCCTCACAACATCAGCTCCTCACCTCACAACATCAGCTCCTCACAATCAGCTCTCCACCACACAACATCAGTCCTCCTCACTCACAACATCAGCTCCTCACAACCACACATCAGCTCCTCACAACCACACATCAGCTCCTCACAACATCAGCTCCTCACAACATCAGCTCCTCACAACCACACAACATCAGCTCCTCACAACCACACATCATCAGCTCCTCACAACCACACATCAGCTCCTCACAACCACACATCAGCTCCTCACAACCACACATCAGCTCCTCATAAAATCAGCTCCTCACAACCACACATCAGCTCCTCACAACCACACATCAGCTCCTCACAACCACACAACATCAGCTCCTCACAACCACACAACATCAGCTCCTCACAACCACACATCAGCTCCTCACAACCACACATCAGCTCCTCACAACCACACAACATCAGCTCCTCACAACCACACAACATCAGCTCCTCACAACCACACATCAGCTCCTCACAACCACACAACATCAGCTCCTCACAACCACACAACATCAGCTCCTCACAACCACACAACATCAGCTCCTCACAACCACACATCAGCTCCTCACAACCACACATCAGCTCCTCACAACAACACATCAGCTCCTCATAAAATCAGCTCCTCACAAACACACAACAACAGCTCTTCAAACCACACAAAATCAGCTCCTCACAACCACACAACAACAGCTCCTCAAACCACACAAAATCAGCTCCTCACAACCACACAACAACAGCTCCTCAAACCACACAAAATCAGCTCCTCACAACCACACAACAACAGCTCCTCAAACCACACAAAAACAGCTCCTCACAACCACACAAAATCAGCTCCTCACAACCATCAACTCCCCACTGTGACAAGCTGATCTGGACAGCTGTTTCTTCCCTTTTAAGTAGTGCGTTGTATTAGCGATATTATTCAATTACCTTTTACTTATTGCTTTATTATAGCAGTATTATTTTTTCATTAATTAAGATTTGAAAGGTATAAAAGACGAATGTACTGTAGGAGAATTCACTCAAGAGTTACTCCCCCTTTTTAAGACTTCCTATTTCCTTTTCAAATCAGAAATTGACCAGTTCAGACTTGGTAGTCAGTCTGTAGTCTAATTGTTTGTTTGAATTCCCTACCAGGGGTGAGTGAATAGTATTATTTTAATTTGATCTATTGCTGCTAATTCCTCTGAATTAATTTTACATGCTAAACTATGAAATTTGATGCCCACATGGCTTAGAAACCTTGATAAATTTCTTTATCCTAACTAACCACGTTTATGATCTAGTATGAACATGCATGCAAACATATGATCTATTTAATGATTGAAATAATGTTTATTTGATACTAGAAACGTGCATTGGTATTTTTAAATATTATAATAATATTAATTAAGTGGGAATTTATGTCCTCATGTGAAATCTCGGCCAGTTCCGATTTTCAGCATGGTAAGACAATGGAAAGTAAAGACAGCCGGCGTAATGCTGACCACATTACCCACAGAGTGCTGACGGTCTGTAAAAATATGGGACGCTCTGCCCGTATGCCCGATGCGCCGAAAGGCGTGAAAAGGGAACTTTACTTTTTTTTTTACTTAAGACAATTAATACAGGAATGAAGTGTATATTCATTATGCCTAATCCTTACTAAGTTGATTTGACCTCATGGTGACATTAGCTTGATAAATCACTGTCTTGCTTCAATTTAGATTTAGTCCAGATATTTCTGAGACTGGTTTAAGAACTTGAAAAAGTGAATATCACATGGTGGCTAAATTTAATATTCACACTGTCGGAGAAGAAGAAGAGAGATGTATGGCCCATGCTTGTAATTATTATTGTTGTATATATATTTTCCCATTACTAGGAATATATTTTCAGTACCACAGCAGGTGGCCTTGCAATTTTAATAATTATATTTCCACCCTTTTCAACTTCTAAACTCTACCAAATAAGATTTAGATTTAAACTGGAGTTAGTGTTATCTATTTTATGTTAATACTGTGACAGATGGAAAGCCCATTGTCATCTATGATTGTATTATGACATCTATCCCAGCACCCAGTTATACTGATGGAGATGTGTCAATCCTATTTATTTTCAAATAGCAAAGCACCTGTTATGAGTTTCCGGCCCATGTAAACTCACTCCCTAATTCTCATTCTTTGTGATGTGAACCCATATGGTTGAAAAAAGAATCTACTGTGAAATGTGACTGTATGTGAGCATGTTAACCCCTCACTATTGTAAAGACATCAGAATAATTCGCATTGATGAATGTCCTTTCTTATTGTGTGACTCTTGTACTCGAAAGTATTCATGAAACTGATGTTCTGTATACATTCCCATTCTATACCAGTAAAGAATGTGAACACCTGTTACTATCCTACTCCATATGTGTGTGTGTAGTGTAACAGTATATGAAGACTGGACCTCCAGTGTTGTCTCCAGTGAGAACTTTCCAAACTGCTTTTTTATAGGGACTGTTCTAGGTCCAGGTGGGAGTTCCAGAAGTAAATCCCGGCATAGCTGCAGATGCCCGATTGTCTGGACTGGACTGGAAGATTCGGCCTGCCTGATGTGTCTCCGAGGCTTAGCTAGAAGCTGACCAAAGGAACGCAAGCTAAAGCTAAGTGGACAGATTTGTCTACTATCCTCATATAAAAGGATTTTATCTCCACAGCAAGTTTAATTATTAGCTTGACTTTTCCAATCCCAAATAAATGTTATAGTTTTAATGTTCCTTTAGTTTTATGGAGTTTCATTTTAACTGTAATCATTTGTGTCAGTGAGCAAAAGCCAGTATAATTTAATACGTTTAAATATACAGTTTATTAACAGTAGGTAATCAGATGTGGGCAAACCCCGAATCCTCTCATTTAACCAGCAAGGCTGGGGGTTATTATAATCCTTTATGATGATTCACTATTTGCGATTCCCTCTGTAGATTGCACATAGTGCATTCGCTAGATAAAAGCGAATTTACCCGCCACACTCACAACCACACAACATCAGCTCCAACTCAGCCTTGTCAAATGAGCACCAGAAACTGTTTGAGGACAAGATACATAAGTTAACTCAAACTGTTGTACAACAAATTTAACCTGCTGAACTCACCAACGCACAGAACACTTTCATTTTGTCTTTTGCTGGGTGTCAAACAAGAACTGTAACTACAAAAATTCTTCAACAACTGTAACTGTTAATTAGATTGAGTCCACTTTGTCTTCTGTGGCCATGTGGCTGAGACAGCAATGTTCCATATACACTGTGTGAGGTATAGTGTGGCTGAGACAGCAATGTTCCATATACACTGTGAAATATAGTGTGGCCATGTGGCTGAGACAGCAGTGTTCCATCACACTGTGAAGTATAGTGTGGCCATGTGGCTGAGAGAGCAATGTTCTACACACCGTGTGAGGTTTACTACAGTACAAACAATACAAACCTAGGACACTTTTCTCTGGAGCCGCAGGAACTATGACTCCTAAAGGCAAATGTTTCTCTGTCAATTTAGCATGGAGACCCAAGAAATCACTAAAGCGGCGAAGCACAGCATTCTCTGGTCGTCTAAATGCAGGGTTGCTGGTCTGCAACATGTTCATCATAGTTCTTACAAATATCAACTCAGTAACACATCCACAAACATTGCACTAAACACAGTCGCGTTACTGCTCATATCCATGAGGAACATGTTCATCATAGTTCTCATAAATATCAACTCAGTAACACATCCACAAACATTGCACTAAACACAGTCGTGTTACTGCTCATATCCATGAGGAACATGTTCACAAACTGACACATATCAATGTAAAACTAATGGACCTATGCATCTGATGGCACCAGTAGGTGTGACTAGTTATAATGTCAGACTCGGACCTATGCATCTGATGGCACCAGTAGGTGTGACTAGTTATAATGTCAGACTCGGACCTATGCATCTGATGGCACCAGTAGGTGTGACTAGTTATAATGTCAGACTCTATGTACTGATTGTATTCGTTAGTTCAGAGAGGTCATCACACAATGGCCTCCTCTTATCTTTGAAAGTATAGAGGACATCAAATACCACTCAGACATTACAATCATTTTTTTTTAAATTTGACTTAAACCCTTTTCTTTCTGTGCTCACTTTTAGCCTCCCCTCCCCTCTCCACCCCTCCCCCCCCCCCCCCCCCCCCCCCCACTCCCATTCATTTCTGTCTGCATCCAATCTATTCTTTCTCCTCTCCAGTTCCAATCTCTCTCTCTGCGTACATACACCCCCCCCCCCCTTTTCTGTGAAAATCCATACATGCTCCATTTTTGTCTTTCCTTTTTTGCATGCGAACACTCATTCTCTACCGGAACACTCTTGAATGCTCCCTCTGAGCCCTCTTGCCGTGCTCCAGCCCTGACCCCTCTTGACATGCTCCACCTGACCCCTGACCCTCTTGACATGTTCCACCACCCGGACCCCTTGAGCATGCTCCCCCCTGACCCTCTTGGCTGCTCCACGTCTTCACACCTCTTGACATGTTCATCTGACCCCTGACCCTCTTGACATGTTTCCACCCTGACCCTCGTGAATGCTCCCCCCTGACCCTCTTGACATGCCCACCCTGACCCTCTAGACTGTTCCACCTGACACTCTTGACTGTTTCCATCCTGACACTCTTGACATGCTCCGCCCTTACCCTCGTGACTTTCCATCCTGAAACCCCCACCCCTCTTGAATGTTCCACCCCGACCCTTTTTGACATGCCCCCCCTGACCCCTTGTCCCCCCACCCCCGACCTTGGAAGCCCCACCCGAAACCCTCTTGCCCTTCTTTCCCCCCTGAACCCCTTGACATGTTCCATCCCGTCCTCTTGGGCATTTTTTAAAATTGACCCTTTTGACTGTTCCCCCTGACCCCCTTGACATTCTCCCCCCTGACCCTTTGACATGTTCCACTTGCCCCTCGGGCATGTTCCAACCCCGACCCTCTTGAAAAGCCTTTCCCCCCTTTACCCTGGGCCCTCTTGACCTTTTTCCACCCTCCCATGACCCTTTAAAATGCTCCACCCTGACCCCTGACCCCTCTTGCCAAAATCCGTGATTTTTGGGCCGCAGGTTTAGGCCCGGGAAACAGAAAAATGAACTGACCTTTGGGGATGACTTTATAAACCCTTTTCCCCTGAATGCCCCCAACCCCATTTTCCGGCATCGGTTTTCTTTTTTCTGCGATTCCTAATGGTTCCGTCAGCTGACCCTGGAAACCCCCCCCCCCCGTACCCAAATGGAAAATTCCCCAAAAAACCCGCCAAATTTTGGGGTTTTTCCCCACAACATCCCAAAAAAAGGGGGTTTATTTCCCCCAGGACAAGTGGGGAAGTTACTCCCCAATATGCCAATAGGGGAGTTAAACCAAAAAATGCAAAGTAGGGGGAAATTTCTTACAACATTCACAAGTAGGGGGAAGTTATCACAACCCTGCACCCCAAGAGGGAAAATTTTAAAAAAACCCGAAAAAGTAGGGGGGGTTTTTCCTCACAACTGCACAAGTAGGGAAGTTTTCTCCCCAAAATGTACAAAAAAAGGGGGGATTTTCCACAACCATGACAAGTAAAAGGGAAGTTACTCCAAAAATGAAAGGTAGGGGATTTTTATCACAAAAATGGCCCCAAGTAGGGGATTTATCCAAAAATGCACAAGTAAGGGGGGTTACTCAAACTGCACAAGTAGGGGAAATTAAACCCCAACGCACCAAATAAAGGGGGGGTTATCACAACATGCACAAGGAGGGGGGTTAAATCAAAACGACAAGTGGGGAAAGTTACTCAAAAACCCTGCACAAGTAGGGGGTGTTTTTAAAATGCCCAAATGGGGGTTTACTTTACAAAATGCACAAGTAAAGGGGGAATTTTCTCACCAAAAATGCACAAGTAGGGGGGGAAAACAAAAATGCACAAGTAGGGGGAAGTTTCTTTACAACATGGGACCAAATAGGGGAAGTTACTCAAAAATAGGGACCAAATAGGGGATGTTACTCACCCCATGCCAAGGAGGGGAAATTACCAAAAAACTGCACCCAAATAGGGGAAGTTAAACAAACATTCACAAATAGGTAAAATTTCTAAAAAACCCGCACAAGTAGGGGGAATTTTCTCACAACCCCTGACAAGTAGGGGTGTTCCCCACAACATGCACAAGGAGGAGATTCTCCAAAACAGGGCCAAAGTTTGGGGGGGCCCCACAAAAATGCACAAGTAGGAGAAATTTTCACAAAATTTCACAAATAGGGGGATGTTTTCTCAAAAACATGCACAAGTAGGGGC